CATCCATCCATCAAACTTTCGCATTTATAGTATTAGTAAGAAGTAAGATTAATAAGATTTATTCAGCTAAAAATAGCTTTGTTAAATTGATTCTTATATTAACTTCACATTTAAAGACTCTTCATTGAGTCGCTTGTATGCCTAGGGACTGTGAATTTTCTTTCCAACAGTTGTGCTTGTATACCTTCGTGTGACATCGTGGGAGAAATGCCTGTAAAGCAGCGAATTTAAATGTGATAATAATTAGCCGGGGTCGGAGGTCACGGTGCGTGGCCGTGCCTTATGGGACGGCGGGTGAAGACGCAGACTGACAGGTGGTGCGATTCCCACGATATACCTAATTACGTACGTACCGTACTCGCTTGCGTACATTTTCGTTAATGCACACTAGGCAGAAAGTTTAAGTATCCAGAAAAATGTGCATGAATTATTTCCAAGGAAAACTCAGAGATGTATCCAAATAGGCATATAGTTTTACATTATCAGTGTTAAATTTCAATGTTTTTTAATCGAAAATAATGATTTTTCAATAAAAAATAATAGAACTTAAAGTTAATCCTAACTTAAAGTGAAAATATACATATCAATATTATAAATGCGAATGTTTAGATGGATGGATGGTTGTTAGGGTTTGTAGCCTAAACGGTTGAACGTATTTCGATGAAATTTTGTATAAACATAGAGGATAGTCTGGAAGAACACATAGGCTACCCACTTTTGTTTTTTTTTAATTCAACACGTACGAAGTCGCGGGCGAAAGCTATTTTTGTATAATAAACAATGTCAGTATTTCGATGAAATTTTGTATAAACATAGAGGATAGTCTGGAAGAACACATAGGCTACCCACTTTTGTTTTTTTTTAATTCAACACGTACGAAGTCGCGGGCGAAAGCTATTTTTGTATAATTAACATCGGAGTGTCAGTATTTCGACCAGGTGTGTAATGTGCTTTACCGTTTATATGTAAATTACGATGACCACCGACCATAGCGATGATCTTATGACATCGTCATATGATACTATCTAATGGCAGATGTTTTATTTCATTAATCCATATCACTATCTTACTAATATTATAAATGCGAAAGTTTAGGTGGATGGATGGATGTTTGTTAGCACTTGTAGCCTAAACGGCTGAACCGATCTCTATGAAATTTGGCACAGGTTTAGAAAATAGTCTGGAAGAACACATAGGCTACTTTTTATCCCGGGAATAGTTACGGTTCCCGTGGGATTCATTAATTTAGTTTTTTAATGTTTACT